GGGGGACTAGCGTCTGCCGCCGCCCGTGAGTAAGTTCCACGTTTGACAAGTGATGTGGAAGAAGCTGGGCTGAAGTTATCCCAGCATCCTTATGTTTAAAGAGCAGATATATAGGGGGTGTGTTTCTCTGTTGGCCAGGGCAAGCCGGCTTTTTATGAATACATTGTCAGAAATTCTGTGTGTCCTTGCAAGAAGCTGCCATTACATTAGTTTTCCAAATTTTCATCTTGTTATTAAAAAAAAAAAAGAACCTGCATTTCCCAAACAAAGTTGGCGCAAGAACTTTGGTGTACTTGCATTAAAGTCTCCTTCAAGTAATCTTCACAACTTGTGTTGTCCTTCATGTCCCTCTGCCAGAGCTTATCAGCACTACAAATCTCATAATATGGCACTGGAAGGCTGAGGAACTAATGCGTATGGATGTTTTTTCTCCACTCTTGGTGGGAAGGCATGGTATATGCTTTAGAGGATAATTTCTTAAGTTACTGAGTGCGAATTCCCAGCGCAATTCTGGAAGTAATAGAAGCACTGTTGCTTAAGAGGTCACTTTTCTCTCCCAGCTATGAGTGGTGACCTCCTCAATAGATTTGACCAAAAGGAGCATATGCTTGTTCGGGGCCTCAGCCACTTCATAACTTAAATTCCACTTTCACTGTCAGTTCAAGGGAAGATGTTGGCCATCTGTTAGGTACTAATCCATATTGGAATGCAGGCAGCAGCAGTTACTTTACTGTTGTGTTCTGACATCACAAAACTGATCCTTTCGTCTCAGAAGTATATATTCAGAGTATTCTCACACTTGGCTGTTGCTAGCATTGCAGCCCAAAGATAGCCAGAGGGGTTTCAGCTGTGTCAAAAGTATTTTTACAGTCTGGAGACTATTAGTGATAGCAGTACATGATCCATGATTTTGCAAATGCACTTAACAAAGTTAAGACAGTTTGAATTAGAAATCTCTTTCTAAAAAATATGTAGCTGTATAATACCGTGCTTCATCACTCCTGCGAATATAACGCTGTGTATCTAAGGTGCCTTCCAGGTGTGTTATCTTTGGGATTTAGGCATGTCTGCTCCTATACAAACTGTAAACTGTCAATTTTCCCTCCCTAAATAGCATGTCTGATTTTCCTCACAGACATACAGCCAAGGGATCGAATTAGCCTGCCAAAAAGAAAGAGAGTTTGTGAAGCACTCTGTAGAATGCACGTGGAACCTAGCAGAAGCCCAGCAAAAACTTGGTAGCTTAGCACTGCATAATTCAGAATCCTGCGATCAGGAATCTGCTCAAGCAAAGACTGAAGCTGCAGAGTTGAGATGGAGAGAGGAAGAGTGGAGAAGAAAAGAAGAAGCACTAAACCAGAGGGAAAGACAGAATCTATGGAACACAGATCCTGTTAGTAAGGAGGTATTTAATAAGGTATGACCCATATCAGCGTGCGTGAAAACAACTGTTAGCCTCTTTTTTTCATTTCCCTTGTTACTAGTCTTGAGTGTCTTCGGTGTCCAGTAAAGCAGAAAACCACAGTATGTGTTAAATGGGTTGGTTTTTTTTTCTTACTTTGCTTCATGGAAGGGAGCAAGCTGCACTCATCCTACAAATCTGGATGACATTTCTCTACGAGAAGTGCGTATCAGAACTTGTGGGGGTAATCTAGGTATTAGATATGTGCTGTCAATGTGCACTTGCAGCCCAGAAGGCCAACCATATCCTGGGCTGCATCAAAAGCAGCGTGGCCAGCAGGTCGAGGGAGGTGATTCTGCCCCTTTACTCTGCTCTCATGAGACCCCACCTGGAGTGCTGCATCCAGCTCTGGGGTCCCCAGTACAAGACAGACATGGACCTGTTAGAGCAGGTCCAGAAGAGGGCCATGAAAACGGTCAGAGGGATGGAACACCTCTCCTATAAAGAAAGGCTGAGAGGGTTGAGGTTGTTCAGCCTGGAGCAGACAAGGTGCTGGGAAGCCCTTATTGACCATATTGTGGCCTTTCAATACTTAAAGGGGATTTACAAGAAAGATGGAGATATTTTTTTTTTATCACGGCCTGTAGTGATAGGACAAGCAGCATGGTTTTAAATTGAAAGAGGGTAGGTTTAGATTGGATATAAGGAAGAAGTCTTTTATGATGAGAGTGGCGAAACACTGGAACAGGTTGCCCAGAAAAGTTGGGGATGCCCCGTCCCTGGAAGCAATAGAGGTCAAGTTGGACGGGGCTTTTAGTAACCTAATGTAGTGAAAGATGTCCCTGCCCACAGCAGGGAGGGGTGGAACTACATGATCTTTAAATGTCCCTTCCAACCCAAACCATTCTATGATTCTATGTAGTGCAAGTGTTGCCAAGTGCGCTGAACAGTAGTTTCCTCACACGAAGAGTGTGCTTCTCTATTGTGCCAAATTTTTAAAATGCGAAACTGTTAGTTTGCCTCTTATAATGACTACTGTAATACAGATTATTTAGCACAAACTTTTTTTTATAGTAGATTCTCAGCTTTGATTTCACAATTTAATTTGAATAGCTGGCACATCTCCTAATTTCACTGATTTAACTGCATCCAGGCTGCAATGTACATGATTCTCATTGTTGACAGGTCAGTAAGTTCCTACCTGAGGACAGAAGTTCTCAGAGTTCTTCGGTCAGTAGACTATAATGAGACTTTTAAACTCTATTTTTAGGTAATGCACTTTTTTAAAGAAAACCTTCTCCAGTATATGACATGCCTCTAAAATTAGAACATAGCTCTTTAAATAGTAACATATTAAAATATAATACTCCTATATATCACAAAAAAGTATGTCTGGAGTTTCTGTGATAGTATAATTTTTCTCTTCCTCAGAGTTTTATTAATCAAAAAAGAAAAGAAATAGAAGATGAAGATGTGTCTGAACCACTTATGCAAAAACATGAACAAAAGATTAGACACTTTGGTGAGTGTGCTTTTTCCAACATTTTGCAGTTCAAACTTCTACAGAATTTGTGTAGGTTTGTTTCTTATCGTACAGAATGAATGCTAACAAATGAAAAGACCTGGTTAATAGACTGTTCAGCTTTATTTTATCAGGACAGATAATAATTTCAAAGCAAAATAAGGTATAAACTGTAGAAGCTTGTTAGTTCCTGTGACCAATAAGAACTTAAATTTAAAAAAAAAATCAAAAACTAATATTCAAATGAGCTTAAACCTAAAGTTCTAGCAACTTTTTCTGCTGTTCAGTGGGAAAAGGCAGGGATATTCATGGAAATATGTCGTGTGTATAAAAGTGCATGGGATTGTCCATAGCTTTCTGCTTTTCATAAATATTTTTCTGGTGGCTATTAAGCTACAAGAGTAATGGCTGATTAAAGGGAAATGTCTGTAAATGCCTTCTGAGAGTATGTGTGCATGGAACTGTGCGTTTCTTAAAATTGTATTTAAATATCCACTAGGTGTCACTTTAGCTCTGACATAATGGTTGAACCGAATTAAGCACAAAGCTGATCTTGTAAAGTAATCTGAAATTTTGGTGGTTCTCTGAAGTGCATTCCATTCTTAGTTACAGGCTGGTTTCAGGCTACGGTATAGTATAGCCATATTTGGAATTCCAGAACAATCAAGAACAGGACTGAGTTGGCAAAATTCAGTTCTTCATACGAACTTGTTTTTACTAAGCTATTCGGCTTCTAAGGATCTTAAGCTGTTTTAAAGAAAGGGTTTCTAGCCCTGTTAGTCTTAGCAAGCTTGCAAGTACCAAGTTGAAGCACAAAACTGTCAGAGTATGCAAATAGCAGTGATAGGCTCAAGTTCCCTCAAATACCTTAACTGCTAAGTGTACTGATAGCGGAATCAGAAGATGTCTCCCCTGCTGTGTATTTCAGCAGAAAAAAAGAGGCTTTCTTGCAGACTTCCTAGCTAAGATTTGGGCAAAATTGCTTTGTGTCTAAATTCAGATTAAGCTGTTACAGAAACAACCTTATTACCGAAGGTCATCAATTTTTTTATTACCTCCCAAGTTCAAAGCCAATGTTAATTCAAAATACGCAAGTCCATTGTAAAAAGGGACAGTACATTAATGCTCTTTCAAGTCTCTTGTTCTGTGCTAGCTGCTGCCAAGGGGCAGCATGGACTGCGCTAGCCATATTGCATGAGTCCTGTTTCTGGATCCTGCTCTGGCTTCCAAGGAGTAAAGAACTTATGCACAATACCTTTCTGGAAAACAGCAAAAAGAAGTATTAGCCATTGCTTTCTCTTTAGGCATTTGTTTACTAGAATTAAGATTTGCTTAGGTCATTACCACTGAATTATCTTTAGCCCAGTTACAATTATACACTGACAGACAGGTAAAGCTGTACATCTGGTGCCTGTTGCCAGTAATGAATTGGCTGTCAGTCATTGACTGTCAGATACATGAAGGACAATTTTAAGAAGTCGTTTGAGCATTGAGTTCTGATTTTAAACTCAACTCTTTACATGAAGGTAGCTTTATGCTATCAAATTCAATCTTCTAGTTAACTTTCGAATGCTGATGTGGCTTTGCTTTTTGAGATCAAGTTGTTTCTGTAATTAAATTCAAATTTCCTGAAAACCTAGCAAATCATGTGTTAGAAGCACTTTAATTTTTGACAGATTACACATTCTTTATTTTGCGTTATTTGCAAACATTTAGAGGATTTGTGTTTGTCAGAATCACTGAATGTAAATCTCTACCCCTATACTTTTTAAACTGTTTGATGATGTAACTGATACCTACCCCACTTTGTTAGTGTGTATGAGAACTGATTAAAAATAACTTATCAATGATGCTAGAGATGCATTAAAATATAGGAAATTGTGACTGTTAAAATCTGCTTTTAGTATCTTCGAAGTCCGATTATACCGACTGGTAATGCTCTTTCAGCATTGGTTGGATGTATAAGTAAAACCCCCAAATTTAGCTGCATGCTGTCATTCTGAAGTTAGTGAATTGCAAAAGTGTTATATATACTGTGGTAGCAATGCAAGTAACTTCCTTGCTGCATTAAATCATTTATCCATTTAGAATATCTTAACTATGTTTCTCTTAATTAGGTATGCTGAGCAGATGGGATGATAGTCAGAGATTTTTGTCTGATCACCCATATCTTGTATGTGAAGAAACATCTCGATATCTCATGTTGTGGTGTTTTCATCTAGAAGCTGAACAGGTATGAAGATGATGTTTGAATTGTTTGAAAGGATACAGTTTCCCATTTGCACTATAGAAAAGCTGACCAACTTGATTAGCTGTTTAACTGTTCTTCCCAACCTCTCTCTACTTCATTGAAGAAAAATTCTATAGGGCATTGTCACATATATGTCTAGTTATAGCTAATTATCAGTCCCCTTGCTTCTGTGAGCATCAGTTCTCAGCTGTTTAGGAACTAGAACAAGAAGAAATTATGCTGAATTTTAGAAATATAATCACAGGAAATATCTTTAAATCATAATTCAACTTTTTTTCAGAAAAGGGCTCTGATGGAGCAAGTAGCACACCAAGCAGTTGTAATGCAGTTTATTATAGAAATTGCCAGAAGCTGCAATGTGGATCCAAGAGGCTGTTTTCGTCTTTTTTTCCAAAAAGCCAAAGTAAGTCAACTTGGGTAATGATGGGAGAAACTCTTGATGCTGTACAAGGGACCAGTGTTTTAGAGAAGGTTTCTTCCTATAAGAGGCTAAATATTTTATTGACTGATTTAGGCTTATGGGAAAGTATTTTGTTAGCAATTCTTTTCTAGATAGAGTATTTTGGTGTACTTCCAATTCTGAAAATGAAAGCTTCATGTATTTTGCTTATCCCAGAGGGAAAGCAAGATACAGCGGGGGAGGACAACAAGGGTGTTACAGACAAGTAAGAACTAAGCAACAACAGCAAACATAGACCAGTTTAAGGACTGATTTTCGCTAATTACCCCTGTGTTTTCACAGTGTACCTATTGTCACAACTTTCCATTTCATCTGCAGTTCACAGTGCAGCCCAAAATAGCGTCCCTTTCTCATTACTGAAATAGAGCAATCCAGAGCTATGCAGGAGAAATGTGGGAAGACTGAAACTGTGATTTGCTGTAGACTGTATTCAATTATTCAGGACTCTGATGGATCTCAATATTGCCTAAAGGAATTCAGTTGAAGTGCGAGTCAACTTGTGCTTTACTTTTGGCCAGAGTGCCACAACAAGCAGCTGTTCTTCTAAGGGTACTGGCTTCTGAGTTGGAATAAAGGAAAGGCTAAAATTATATTTATTTTTACATGTCCTTAGATAAATCAATTACTTTGCTTCTACACATAAATACTACGGATTGTCTTAAAAAGAAATCTACCTGAAATTTCATTGTAAACTGACTAACATTATTCTTGAGTTGTTCACAGCTGTTATTCCCCAAAGGCTATAACATACATTACTGCGTGGTTTTTTTCAGCACTGTGTATGCTTACAAGTCAAAAGTAAATCTGGCTGAAGTGCAAATATTTCATTTTTCTCATTGCAGACAGGAGAAGGCTATTTTGAGGCTTTTAAAAATGAACTTGAGGCATTCAAGACAAGAGTGAGGATCTGGTCACAATCACATGGCTTTCAAACTGTGTTACTACATGATCTCGATGTCAATCCTGGTCTTGTAGGAGAGCTGGCATCTTTTTCACAGGTAGGTTTATTATTCTAGAAATTCATTTAACTAAAGGAGGATTAGGTCCTGCCTTGAGAAGCTGTACCTTTCTGAAATATAAAGAGGATCATTCCTAGAACTGCTAGTGCTCAGGATATAACATGCAGTATTATCAATATGCAAGGCATGTATGGGCTTTCTTTGTACTTGCTGGAATTCAGAAAGCATCAGCATAAGGTCACAAGCATACATTAGTTCAGTGCCCTTACATTTTTATGCTTTAAATAAACACTGCATCATCAAATTGATCAGATGCTAGAATTGTATTCACAGTCTTTACCACAAGCAGTGAAATGAGCTTTCAGTGTAAAATGAATAATCCTGTTCATGGGATCATTCAGGTAAGTCAAGCCTAAGGAAAGTCTCTTGTGATAAAAGGAAGCTGAGGGTACTTAGGTCTTTTGTTACAGTACTAGTGATAGACACATTGTGGAATGAAGCAGCAACTTAAGTTTGTCAAAAATTAGGTATTAGGGAAGGCATCACAATTAAAACTACTTACTTGAAATAATTTGATTAAAGTACCTCTCAAGTAAGATCCAACAGCTGAATTTTAAGTAAATGTGCAGTCAAGTGCTAGAAATATTGAGACCATACAAGCTATTCCAGCAAATTCAAGGAATTCTTGACACAGTGAGATAATACTGCTTGATGAATTTTTCAGAGGTTATTTCCTTACTATTGCAAATTTGTCTCATCTTAAGATGGACAACACGAAGAGTCCAACTTAAGCAAAAATCTCTCGTTTCTCTCTTTCTTTCTCTCCCTCCATATATACAGTTATGGAGAATTAAGCTGTCAATTTTTCATCTGTTGCAGAACACAGGTGATCTGCAAGGCTCCATAAACACAGATGTCTGCAGTTTAAACTCTGTGATACAAAAAGATGAAGAAGAATCCAAAATGATGGACACAGTATAGTACTCTTAAGACGGAGGCCAAGTACTCTTTTTTTTTTTTTTCTTCTTTTTTTCTCTCTCCTGCCCGCGCCCCCCCCCTCCCCCAAAGAAACAAACATGGCTATTTTCTTGACACTTATTTTTCTGGGTACTGCACTTTATTTTTGGTGTCAGATTTTTGTTGTTGTTCTTTGGTTTTAGGGGGGAAGGGATTTTGAAGGGTGGGAAATTCAGAAAAACTTGTAATATTGTTTGAAAATGTGCTGCTAGGTTTTTGGTTGTCCTTGAAGAGCAGGGTTCTCATATTGCCGAATGTGAAACTGGATGTGTTTTCTGCTACTAACCTTGCCTTTCATGACTTTAGAAATTAAAGTATGAAAAAAAATCTGCACAAATACAATGTTTACAAGAAGCGGTAGATTCTTGGTAGAATCTGCTATTGTCTTACTACAGATGTGGACATGTTTTACTCTATGAATATTGGAGATCACAACTGTATTCATGCTACCTTGCTGACATCATAAGCTCTCAAATTTGGTTATCACTAATAGCAATAAATCAGTATCTGGTATCAGTATTTCAGATCTGAATGGATTAGATTAAAACACTGGCTTTCTACCTCTACTAAGGGGATTTAACTGTTACATTGTGCTTTCATTAAACGTAACTTGGTTTTGTCCTACAACATAAGCAACGCTTGTCTACATATGAGTGCTGGGTTGTATGATTTCTGAGAGTCTGACTCTCTCCTTGTTCATAATGTTAACTTCAGATTTTTTTTAAACCAAGTCTTATTATGGGGAGAAGTATTGGATGGAGGGGATGGAGGGAACTTGAGGTACAAGGGTTAGGCTAAGACTTCAGTTTAAACAAAAAGCTTTGTGGCAGTTCACAGAGTAAGGTGTCATGCCAGGTTTGAAAGGTATTTCATATGCTACTAAACATACGGGTTTATAAAAAGTGGGTTTCTAACATTGCCAACTCAAACAATTAAAGTGGAAAATCATTAAAAGCTTCCTGTTTGAGGAGCTGGAAATCCAAATACCATTTCTAGACAAGGCCTTCCACAGAACCTCTGCAATCCAAAATTCTACTGTGCTTTTCTAACTTGCTGCTATTACAGCAGTTCTATCTATAAAGATGTATACTGCAGTTGGAGGACTCCAGTGAAGACAGCTCATATCTCAAATAATGGTATCGGTACACACTCTCGGTCCTTTACTGTATTGTTCTGATTGTATGTAAGGTTTGGAAGGTATCTAGATTTCAATAGTTTGATGAACACAGTCTGCCTGCAGTTGCTAATTTGGGCAAAAGCTGTGCTGAGATGCAGTAATTTTCAGCTTTGGCTATAGCAGAGATAGGGAAAAGTCTAAGTCTGCAGTATATACCAGAGTGAGTATTAGTACAAATGCAGTAGCAAAAGTAGGAACTCCAGATCCGCTGATAGAAGTAGTTTTTCGTGTGCGTTGTGTTCTCTAGCAGTTCTTTTGCAGACAGACTGAGGATTAAGGAGCAAGCAGCAGCTCTGTCCCAGATGCAAATTAGAGATAACCAGCTTCAGTAGTAAAGTAATCTTTTTTTTTTTTTAAGTTTGTCAGATACTCCAGAGAGGATAAGTAAACACTACCTCCTCCTTAATAATTAATTAATTATTAAGGGAAACTAAGGGAAACTAATAATTTCAGGTTGTTCTTTAACTGGATGTGATATACAAGGCTAGTAAGGCCAGTGTAGCACAGTGACTTGCAATTGCTACCATTAGCATTAAAGCCACATTGATCTAGCAACCTGTGGTATACTGAAAGTTATTTTTAAAGTTTCTAAGGGGATAAACTTGGATCGTGTGAGAATAAGTGTCAAATCTTAAGGAGATTCCCTCCCTGTTCTCCTTCTGGCTAACTGAAACGTATGTAGGCTGGCAAAAAAACAAGCATAGCTGCTTTTTATTGAAATCAAAATGCATAAATAGAAGTAAGCGGCACATCAGGGTTTCTCACTGTAATGTGGTAGCTACTGTTTTCTAACCATGACTTTTTTAAGAAATTACATCTCTAAACTCACTCAGTCTACAGTCTCCATATAGACATTTCTGAAGATGAAAGTACAAGTGGTCAGCCTTTTGGCAAGCTTCCTTTGAAATGTAAGGAAAGCTGCTTGCAGTGATAGCTGATGTCCATGTTGTTCATTTATAGTAATGGGAAAGCTTTACAAATTCTACAATGACCATCTTTTTTAGACACAAATGTGTCTCAATATTGATAATGCTAAAACTAGACGTGCAAATGTAATCCAAGCTACGTCAGCATCACAGCTCTGTAGTTGTTTACAAGTCAGTCACTGCAAAAGGAGATTGGGACCTACACTGGTAGGACACAGCTACTTCAGACGTTGCCTAGACACAGTTGTTTGTTCCTCAGGTTTTGCTGACTCTTCTTGAAACTCTCAATCTAGTGAGCATAAAAAAAGGGCTAGGAGAGTTCACTGAAAAATAGCAATGTCTGCATTACTTGGACTGTTAAAAAGTATGGCCTGTGGAGGTTTATAACTCTAGTAACCTAGTGAATAAATAAATACAAGAGCTGGTCAGAGACATGGATTAGTAATATGAACTCATGAAAACCAGTCCAATTGCTACAATAAAACTTGCTACAGTAATATGACAAAGTTGATAATTTGACCACTGGAAATCCTGGCACTGGCATCAATGAGCAGTTGTTTTTTCAAAGATAGTAGAAAAGACACATTTACTAGTCAAGATCATCTAGCTACAAGCTTACCGATTACACTTAATCTCTTCAGTATCTGCTGCCTTTTTACTACTAAGGTCTTACACAGCTGCACAAAGACAGAGGCTTTACCGAATGTGTTACACATCATTGAAACTCCATTTCTCATGCCTGCGAGATAGCTGCTCTGAGGGCAGAAATATAAACATAGTAATAAGGCCAATCATCCAAGCAAGCATTAAGGGTAATTTAAGCCCAGGAAAATCACCTAACATATGTGCAAGCAAAGCTAAAAGAAGGTGACCATCTTCCATGAGATCAACCTATATATATGCCAGTTCTGGTCTGAAATGGCTCTTTGCAGAATAGTGGTCAAGGTTCCCCACAGCTTCTGGCTGGCCCCAACTAATCACACATTCAAGAAATGTGCTTTCATGTCCTTATCATTGCTTCGTACTACATTTCATGAGTGAGTAAATCAATCAATGTGCTTTGTAATTAGGCTGTATTCTGAAATGTGTTTCCTTCACAAGTCAGTATTTGCAAACATAAATATGTTCTGAATAAGAGACACAAAAGTAGCTGCTTTTGTTAAAGTCAGTTACTGTATTATACAAACTAGGTATATTTAATATAAAAAATACAGCATTAAAGTGAGAACAAAGTTTATCATTATGTAAGCTAAGGACAACATTAGACTTTAATTATTGATCAGTCTGGTAGACTACTTAGAGAAATCCTTGACTGCTGAATCTCATGTAATCAAGTGTGAGCTATGACAGATGAGCAGAAGTTAGACCTTTTTTCACCTGGGATTGGCAGCATCTTTCTGGCTCATATCTGGCAACTTGGTTTGGAGGAAAGCATAGATATGTGGCCAGATCTTATTGGTTTCTGTTCCAGAGAAGGACTTCAATAACCCTTTTTCCCTAAGGAAGAAAAAGAAGAAAGTATTACAGAAGTCAAATTGTTTAATTGTTCCAGGATCTCCGCCTCACTTTAAGATTGCCCTGGCAGGGGTGTGCAAATATGCATGTGATTTAACATCAAGAACGGCCATAACGTTGGGAATGCAGGCTGGACATGCATTACTCTGTTCCTCAAACAGTGAGCTATTGGCCACATCAGTTCATAAAACTGACAGCTGTCCACAGAGTACTTAATAACAAACTGTGAAGGGTAAAAAGAAGCAGCAGCAATGCAGTCATATAGCACATGCTATACAGCAGTCATCCAAACAACTGTGACTAACCTAGGTATTGTAAAGTTACACCTCAAGGATCAAAGAAGGTGCATCAGAACAAGCAAGTGAACCAGGCACAATCAAGTTATTCTGACTTAGTTCTAGTAGCTAGTTTTATCTGTAAAGTATGTTATTATCAGTAATAATAATAGTTTAGGCCTATGTCTTACTGTGGTGCTTTGAGGCATTTTCACTTCAGAGAGCTACCAAAGTCTGGAAAATCATTGTCAATCCAGAAAAACTCTTTCTTTAAAACTTAACTACCCCAAAGATGGAGCTTCTAGTCTTCTGCTCAATAGTTTTGGTAGAGCATAATGAAGGGTGGTGGATATGGAGATAGAGGAAGGACAGTCACTTCAGCACATTGTCAAAGACAGTCTGATTTCTTTGTCTAGGCAAGATAAGACTACAAAGCTCTACATGGTGACCTGCTATTACCTATATATTAGCAATGTGATATCTGCAGCTTTACATTAAGAGAAACTTTGTGTATCATTTTGGCTCTTAAAAGAACTAATAATTTGTCACCATTCCACAGTGCAAATGGCAGTATTCTCAAATAGCTGCTTATTCCCAAAGAGTCTTGCTAGCTGAGCCCATCACAGTCCTGTTCTTAGAACAGCCACTTTTAAATCCTCATTAACAGTTTTTCTATTTGTCACTTCTTGACCCCTTGCTCTTGTTAGGAGGGCTTCTACTTACACATCCTAAATCTTCCAAAAAAAGGAACTTTCTCTGTTACCTTACTAACCAGAGCAGTGTTGCTCAGAACAGTACTATAATGTATTGAATAATGCATAGCGCTCTATGTAAAGCTAAATGGCTACAGTGAAAGGCTCTTTTGCTAAGCAGGCTCCTGAAGAGGTTTCCTGCAACAATGGGAAACACAGTCATTTTGCTGGGTTGATTTCTTATTGAGTTGATGAAAAATACACTGCTACTCATGGTACGTTCACTGTTGCAGTATCTCTGTAACTGAAGAGATCTGTTTTTCGCTATGCTAATGTGGAAGAACCTTCTAGAATGTGGAAGAACAGATTTTACTACTTACCGATAATATTCTAGAACAGGTTTTGTCTGTGCATCATAAGCCTGCAGCCTCTTGGTAACCGTCTCTGGCTTATCATCATCACGCTGAACAAGTGGCTCTCCAGTAATATCATCAATGCCCTAATCATGGTTAAAAGTAAACACTGGTGTATATTTCTTATTTCTGTTTAAGTATGTTTTGTGTAATTTTCTATTTAAATTATGACCAGTTTCCAGTTAGTCAAGGTGTAGATTTCTGCTTATATGGGCTACTGCCCATATCTTATCTGGAATGTAAGACGTTGACTTTCCAGTAAAACAGTCCATCAGTTAAAAATATTTTCTCAGTATTGGCAATGAGCTGGCAATAGTCATAGTAACTTGACTAATTTGTCCTCTGGAACTCTCGTTGAATATGGGAAATACGTAGACAAAACCTTCATATATGAGGGAAAACAATATTGTTGGTAATATGTTCCTGCGTAACAGGAAACAAACAAGAGACCAGCTGGACCTTTGTTTGACAATACTGAAATGGGGAAAGGAGTTAATGGCCCTTTGATTTTAAGTCGCAAAATGGAAGAATTATCATTTAGCAACAGCTGTACAAAAAATGGCATAAAAGCCAGCTGAAGTTTTTCTAGGATTCAGTAAATAGAGGTAGGGACCTAATCTGTGAACTGACAGCTCCTACTTTACTGCACATTTCAATATACTGAAATGCTTTAAGTGATTATGAAGCTTTTAAGCCTTGAAACCAGCAATGACTAAAGAAATTGTTGACCACTGGCATATCTTATGAAGGACTAGCTAGTGGCATAAAAGTTGGCTCCTTCTTAGGTGCATTGAATCATTGTGCATCTAAGGACAGAATATGATCCACCACAGATATAAAGGACTTTTTGCTCCTTCGTACATATTAATTAAATCCTCAAGAATTTTGATATTCCCTAAAGACAAGTTTAATCGGACATTTGGAGTGGAAACATGAGTGATCTTGCAAGTACAAAGCCAATGAGACCACAAAAATATTGCAGTCAGTTTCAGAAAATCAGTAACTGTCAATGTTCAGTAAGCTTCTCTGTTCATGAAGGTGTGAAGAAAATCTGTTCCAGAACATCTGTATCATATTAGAGATGGATTTATATGGTCAAACTTACCTTGTTTACATAATACAATCATTTAAAACACTAAAGTGTTTCTAGCATTTGTGCAAGCAGCCATACTAGTGCCTTCATTGTACCTATCAAATATTGAGCCTTCAGCCTTGCATTAACTCTAAAGCCATAATCTTTTGCTTCTGTTGAGTAAGTAAACATTTTGCAGGTCTATTAGATAACAGAGTCAACTGTATTTCAGTTGTTCAGCTCCGTTCCATGGTTGCACTTAACTATGCAATCTACTTTACTATGTTGTGATATGCCTGCTAATTAGTGGAAGGTAGAGTGGAGTGTTCCTAATAGCAAAGCTGTTGCAGCTGAAGCCCACTCTTTGGTGGGTCTCTTCTGCAGTTAAAAATAGCCGTCACTTAAAACACCAGGTTTTAAACGATACAAAGGCAGTGTTTCCAGTTGCTCACTTCCAGTGGTTACCTGCTATTTCAGCTGGCCTCTTTTCCTGCAACACTGAAATCCAAAAACTACAAGGCCTGCTATGCTTCTGGTGTAATTTAATAGAGCTTCCCGGTGAAATGTGATGCCACAACAGGTAATCTATTTAGAGTTAAGGATGCAATACAGCTTAAGCTGAGTTGCACTAAGGCTAATCCAAGTTCCTCAAAAATCTCAAGGTAACAACGTACAATCATTATCTTCAAGTTTACTATTCCTCCTGAGGATATCTCAAGCCATAACCTCTTTGATCTCTTGAGAAGCTTCCCTGACCGGCAAGTTTCTACATCTAATTTTGCCATACGACAACTGTTCCCGTGAAAATACCCATCCTGGTTAAATATAAACACAGGGAAAGCATTAAGTGGATTCCTCTGATTGATGATTTGGTGTATCTTCCTAGATACAAAGAATGAGTCCTCTGGAGGAAGGAAAAGGAAACTACATTTTGGACTATACAGGCTGCAGACTTGAAGAACAGGCTAAGAACATGCCCAACTCCTATGCCAGTGTGCAAGACCGAGAGTATTCCAGATCAGTGAACAGCTTTAACAAGAGCTTACAAAACACCATGATGTTTCATTCTGCAGGGGACAAACACATTGTCCATCAGCTTGTGCTTCTGCCAGGTCACTAACATACCCTCAGAGGCAGGGTGTTACCAGAAATGTTCTGTGCTCATAAGAGATGAAATGAGCCTTTTTCTTCTGAGCTACTGTGTTTTGCTACAACATACGCAAACAATATTTTACTGCAACTACGAAATGCAATGCAACATTTATTAGCGCCAACACCAACATGTATTGCTTACCTGCACTTTGGGAGGACTGAATTCAAGATTGTAGACTCTGCCACTAGCAGGGTGGATCCAACGTGCTGTGAGCCGACATTTTATGGTCTCAAATGGCACATCTAGGTCAATCACAGTGTCTATCTGACATTCTTTATCCAGGGCTTCTGCCTGAGCAACCGTTCTGGGGAAACCTTTTTAAAGGAAACAACTCCATAAAGATCCAAAGGCAGAATTATAGCGAGAATTACCTGGATTCAGTCATTAGAGAAAATAATTGTCAGACAGGAAAAAAAAAAAGCATCGTCATACTGTAAAAGTTGAAGAGACATCAGATTTTCCAAGTATTTTTCAGTGTGTTACAGCACTTTAACTTGTTAAATGCCTCCCTGTTTCCATTTCCTCATTTCAGTTAATCATCTTCCCAAAAGTCTAACAAATAAATGCAAAAAGACGCCATACTTGTATGTACTACATACTACTATATTGAATAAAAGCATTGTATACACATTTTGAAGAATAAAAGTTACAGGCAGTTCACTCAGAGGTCTGGAACAACCTAGAAACATTTGTGACAACTCTTATTTCCACAGTTGTAAGTAAGTCTGGCTTAAGGAGGTGACCATTACAAACATACTTTATTCAGTTGCAGTAAGCCAAATATATCTACCAGAGGCAGTCCAGGATTAATTTTACATAAAAGAGTAGCTTTAGAAAGAGTTCTGGGAAGTCCAGTGTATCAAATTATCCTCGGGGATAATTTGAGAACACTCAGGCTGAACAGGAATCTGTCTCTTCACTTAAAAGACACTGCATTTTGCCCCATGAACTCTATGGCTCCATGCTTTCAAAGGCACATGTTACTACTAGAAAAATCTAGTGGAGCTTAAGAAGGGGGGGGGGGGG